ATTAACCGATAGGTACCAGTCAAGTCAACTACATGTATCTAGTGGGGCTAATTCTGACAGGCAGCTGGACAGGAATTACTTTACCCACCCCACTCACGAACGCTTTATCTCTGCGGGGTCGCCTTGCTTTCCCAACACCTCCTCTCTCCTCCAGACCATTGGGATCCACTTTAGCCATTACCATGTAAACTAAATCCCTTGGCACGTTCAGACCGTGTATCTCTCGTACTTTCTTATGTATGGCTCTGTAGCCGAGCAGTTTCCCTGGACCTTTAATTTCTTTTTCTACTGCTGCTTCCACGTCATTTACCTCGACATCATAGTCAGTAAATTGAATTTCAAAATACTGCATTCGGCGTGCCAGACTTCTAAGGCTCCAAGCGTACATGGGGTAATCTTTTCGCATTAAGTCTAATATTTCCATTCTTTCTTTAAATTCAGACTGACAAACTTAGCTAGGTCGTTTTTTAAATTGTCGTCTTCCCAATCGCTGTTTCTAATCCGAGCGTCCGCCATATTGGGTCAAGCACCTGAGAAGTGAAATGCATTCTGGTCTATGGCACATCTAGGCCGCAAGCTTTTTTTATTATAATTATTATTTTTTTAAATATTTCTTTTTGCTATGGCACTCAAAGGCCATACTCATTTATGTCCTTTTGTTTTTATTTTATTTTCTTTGTTGTGTGAATGAGAAGATAGTAAAAAGAAATAAAAAAGAGATAAAAATAAAAAAACAAAAAAATATATAAAAAATAAGGATAACTAATCAATGAAATAAAAATTATTGCAAAAAAAAATACTGCTTTACTCTCGCTCTACAGCTTTTTCCTATGGCACACATGGGCCACCATAGGTAGTGCCAAATCACTCCCGTATTTTTACTCTGGGAAGGAGGTTCATTATTTTTTGAAGTTTAGAATGTCATCGTCTATCACTTTACGCTTCTCCTCCTTAAGAAAACTTTGTTTTCAGAATAAATACTATTTCTATAGGTAAAATTCCACTGATCACCTGTCGGGTTTTCGCTTTGCAAGAAGAGATCAGAGATTATAGTTTCTTACAGTGGGACCTCAGGGCTCATTCACTGTTCTCGAGCTTTCTGGCCTGGGATGTACTCTTCAGTAATATGCGGTTACCAGGGTATAAATATGGCTGTTGGGAAGGGCTCAGACTTTGCCCGAAATGGCAACTAAGACTGCTGCTATCTTAAACGTTATTCCGAAGGAGTTTTCATGAGCTATAGGCTTTCAATCAACCCATGAGAGGTTACATGCGCAAAAGTAATGGCTTGTGGTTTGTTTGATCCGAGACGTAAATATTTATGAGTTTTTCAATATTCATTTTTCTTACAATCATGTAATTGAACACTTCGAAGTTTCGGCAGGAAAGATTTCGACTTTGTGTACAGATGAAATCAGGGCTCCGTTGGTGAAAGAACCCTTTAAAAAACCGGGCCCGCAGGTGTTGTCTTTATTTTTATTTCAATTCAAATTTTATTTCTGTACTGAATCCTCTCTGTTTGTTTCAGGAAATCTAGTTTGTCTTATTGACAAAAGAAGGCATTATGGTTCTTTATACATTGTTTGTATTACATATTATAATTAAAACTCATTGTCTAGTATTGACCAAGCATTCATAATTTATTCCTAAAACCGGTTAAAACCGAAAATACAAAGCAAACAGATGCTGAGTTTCTTTTAACATGATGAAATCACTGCTGAAATCTTAATTCCAATTTTATCAAAAAAACAACTATGAATGCAGAGATAATTCGACCCCAACTAAAGCTTTCAGCGCTCTTGTTTTGTCTTGCGCTTGAACATCACCAGGTGTTAAAAGAAGTAATAATAATAATAATAATAATAATGATAATAACTTAATAATAATTGCAATGTCTTGCAAACGCCTGTTATAAAGGGTAGGTAGCTTGGCGCGAGTGAGGAGTTCCTCGTACGTTTCAGTTTGAGATTTATATACTGCGCGAAGCATACGCTCTGGGATGCACTCGATTTTTCTGCTATCAGATGATCTGCAGAATTTCCATACTAAATGACAGTAAGTTAAGTATGGCAAGATGGACGTCTTGTATAACATTAACTTTTTTCGCGTTACAAGGTATTCAGTTTCGCAGACGTACAAGTATTCCTACTTTTTGACTAGCTCTCGTACATAACTCGCTAATATGACTCGTTGAGATTCGATCTCCTCAATATAGACCCCGAGTAATTTTATTTGCTCTGTTTTCCTGATGTCATGATTATCAATGTTCAAAGTTTTATCGTCATTCTCTGCATTGATATTCCTGGGATTGACGATTAAGGACTGGAACTTCTCCGAATTAGCAAGGAGAAAGTTGTTTTTATACCAAGACGACCCTAAGTGGCCCTGTGTTTTGAGCCTCGATTCTACAGTCCCATAAGTCTCGCCATCTGCATACAGCTGATGGTCGTCAACGTACATGGTGAGGGTTCGCACATTAACGTGATACGCTATGTCATTTTGAAATATATTCCACAGAAGCGGTCCAAATGCAGTACCCTGGGGACAGCCACGTGCCATTGTTTTCCGTTGACTTGTGTGACCATTCATTTTTACCCTGTTAAATCTCCTATCGAAGAAAGATCGCATTAAATCCTACGAACGATTGCCGAAACCATAGGCCTCCAGCTTCTTGATCGTAAGTGCAGGACATAAAGTGTCAAATCCCTCACTCAAGTCAGTGGATAAAATTGTCACGAGCTCTTTCCTGTCCACAGCTTGCTTCCATTCCTCACCTGCTCATTTATCAAACCATACAAAATCATCATGCCATTAAGTCAAGTCAGGAAAGAAGATTGTTTATCCGACCACTCACCTCGTTGCGAATAGTGTTTGTTCTCTTCTTGTTTTATTTTTTTGTCTCTGTGCGACACGCGTAAAGCATACTGCTACGAATAGTAGTTTCAAAAAGAAAGTAATAATCTATTGAATATTACAAAGAAGTTGTAAGGAGTCAGATGTCTACACGCAATGATTCGAAACTAATATTTCTGTTTTCACTGACGGTGCATAAAGTGCGTCGTCTAAAATCACCAGTTTAGACTTTGACACTAAAGCATCGGATTGGAAAATAATCCAGTTTTCATTATAAATAGAATATGCGACTGTCTATGATTTATTTATTACCGAAATTCAAGCTTTTTTATTGACTGAGTTTGGGCAGACAGTGTTCGTATCTTTTTATACATCTCAGTTGCGCTATCCAGAGTTAACACTACTACTTATGGGAAACATTCGTTAACATACCTTGGTCCCAAACTGTGGCGTAACTTATCCGGAAAGGAGAGACTTGCAATCTTAATACCTTTAAATCGCAAAAATAAGCGTGACTTATCAAGCCTCTTAAAAAGTGGTTCAGTGTACAGGCTGCTATCTATGCAATTCCAAAATGTTTGTAAAATTACAGTTTTCACTGTAAAGACATTTGTCTTCGATCTTTGTCATTGTTAATGTATTATATATATATATATATATATATTTAATCTTTCATACATATACATAAGTTTTAGATTCTTAGCTAGCTTTATATAGATTTGGTCAGTTTCATACATTTTTATGCTAAGTTAGGTGTCCCCTGTTAGCTGAGGGATTCCCCTCTGCTAGATATTTTATTGACGAGTTAATTCATTCATTCATTCATTCAGCCCGTGGAGGTTGCATGTGCCGTAGTGGTTTGTGTTTTGTTTGATCCGAGACGACCGTTAACATTTAATAGTTTTTTATTTCTCTTTAGAATTAGACTTTTAGTTGAGACCATGTAATTGAACACTTTGAAGACTCGGTACAAAAATTTCTATATCTACAACTTTAATCTATAAGAGTTTCCCATCACATAGATTCACCACGTACAGACGATATCTCTGTTTGTATAAAAACCCGCCCCTGTAAAAACCGGGTTCGCAGGTGTTGTCTTATTTTAATTCAAATTTGATTTTTGTGCTAATTCCTTTATTTGTTACGGAAAATCTAGTTTTTAACTTATTGACAAAAGGGGGCTTTATTGTATTTCTACATTGTTTTTATTACATATCTGTTTTAGTTGTAAATAAACTTTATTGTCTAAGGGTTCAAAAACTAAATAATAATTAAAAATACAAAGGTAAATTAATGTTGACTTCTTTTATTCGAATAAAATACGACTGAAATGTTAGTCACTGTTTTCTCCAGAAAACAATAATGAACCCAAGGATAATTCGACTGCGTTAAGGCTTTCAGCGCTCTTGTTTTATCAAGAGTAAAAACCTTCAGAAGAGTCTTGCGTTTTGAAAATCATCAGCTATTAAAAGTAGTCCTGCTCGTTTATCAAACTACAAAATCATCATGTCATTAAGTCAAGTGAGAAAGAAGATTGTTTTTCCGACCACTCAGAGGAAACCTCTTTGCAAATAGTCGATGTTCTTGTTTTTGCTTCTGTGCAACATGCGTGAAGCATACTGGTGCAATGAATTATTTCAAAGAGAAAATAATCATCTATTGAACATTATACAGGAGTTGTAAAGAGTCATCCGTCTACGCCAAACGAATTGAAACTGGTTTTTTTTGTCTGTTCCCACGGACGATGTATAAAGCCCGTCTTCTAAATTAAATAGTTAGTATTCTTTGACATTAAAGCATGGCGGGGTTGGATAATAATCCAGTTTTCATTATGAATACAAATATACCTTTGTCTATGGTTTATTTATCACCGAACTTTAAGCTGTTTATTGACTGACATCCGGGCAGACTGTGTTCGCATCTTTTTATACGTCTCATGCGACGCCCGCACAATGAAGAACATATCAACCACCATCTTCCCAACCAATTCGTCTACGCTCATGCCGCAGCGTCCCTCTAAAGTTGAAGGAATAGCCTGGTGCATTGCTTTGGAAGCTCTCTTAATTGTTCTAGGAAACTTTCTCACTCTTGTTCTCTTTACCGTTAACAGGAGGCTTCGTAAAAGAAGTTTGTTTTTGGTCATTAATATGGCTTTTGCCGATTTGCTATCCGGAGCTGTATCTCTCCCCATTCTCATTTACACCATTGGAGCTGGCTTCATGCTTTGGAAAGCACGTTTGGACAAGACGTTTTATGGTTATCAAGTTTTTGGTCAAATCGTTGTCTTACAGGCGTCACTAATTTCTGCGGTATTAATTACTTGTGAAAGATTTTACGCTGTCTATTGGCCGCTGAAGCACCGAATTCTGTCAATGGGAGCGTACCACACAGCAATTTTTATGGTTTGGATACTAGCCATCCTTTTTTCCATTCCTCAGCTCTTAATTTCCAACAAACTTGCTCTTTACACTTTTGTTTCGATCTTGTTGAGTCTATTATTTACAGTATGTATCTGTAACATAGCTATTTGGAGAAGACTTCAACGACGAATTGCATCGCAACAACAAAACCGAGAAGCACAAAATTGACGTCTGACAAAGACCTTGCTTTTAATATCTACTGTCGAGATCTTATCTTGGCTTCCTTTGACTATAAGTAATCTTTTAGTTATTGCTTTTGAGGTCCCCGTCCCTTTAGCAATTTTGTTCTCTAGTGTTGTGGTAAATTATTCAAACTTTGTCCTAAATCCAATCATTTATGCGTTAAGGTTTCAGGAATTTAAACAAGCAGTAAGCTTTTGTTGCCATAGGAGTCATGATGCAACGATCAACGTAAAAAGCAGTGGTCGAAATAACAACACTGGCTTTAATGCATCCAGTATTTCTGAGATGCAAACACTGGGTTTGTGTTGCTGTAGACGGCGGAAATCGATAAATACTAGACAATGTGGTCAAAGAAATCACAGAGCACACAGTTTGAGGCCAACGACATTGTCAACTAACTCTAGTGACCTACAGCTAGCGTTTGAACAGGAAGTTATGGACACAAGATTATAGTTATAAATGATGTGACGAAAAATCCAGTTTCAGCCGTGAGGTGATGAATACCAAACCATTTATTAATTTCGTTACTATATTCATAGCAGTTACAAGTATATCCCAAGCTCTCGAGTGAAAATCCATGATGTGAAACATAAATGTTTACAATATCACTATTTTGAGGGTTTGTATTGGAATTTGTCAATTGTTATTTAGCGGTAAAAAGTGCCAGAACTGATAGCGCAGAACTGTTTACTTGTCTCCTTGTTCAATTTATGACGTTTTCCTAGCATTTGTAGCCGTTTCAGGGCGATTCCAGCGAGTTCTGCCGTTGTTCCCTCATAAAAGGGCTCTTACGAAACTACGACGGTGACGGCAACGGGAGCGTCCAAAAACATCCCTCACTCCTGAGCTTGAGATACCTGTAAAGGGGGCGGGAAATACCTTTAAAACATATTCACTTAAGAATTTGTATTTCCGCAGTTGAATCATCTTCATATTTCATTCCTTTCACGGGTTAAGGTGAATGTATGGGTCTTCATAACTCAAATGGTAGAGCAGTGCAACGCTAATTCAGAGACGATGGGTTCAAATCCCATTAAAGTTCCTATTTTTTTTCCGGTCTATTTGCAGATTGCTTAAATTTCAATTACCACTGCGATGATAATATCTTCGTTTAAAAAGATGGATCGATTGTCGGAGAAACCGTCCGGACGACTATGTATTTCTTAGTAAACTTTGGAGTTTTGAATAGCTGTATCTCGTTGAATATAAGCTAATATAAGCCCGGTAAACAGCAAACTTGAGAATGTTGCTAGCCTCAATGTGCTCTTTCTGACTATATGGATCTCGTGTTGTTTATCCCAAAATAAAAGGACTTGTACCCAGCCGCTCTCGGTTTGAAAGTAGACAATAACTCCCGCTTCCGACGTATTGTTCTCCCGCTTCCCGTGCCCCTTCGCCTCCTATTCTTTCTGGCTCCTACCCCCCCCCCCCCCCGCCCCCCTTGTAATAGCTATTAGGGGATTCTGATGATATTAAGAAACGCAAAACTATATTTTCGAACCTCCCCTCTTGCTTAAGAGTGGTTGTCAGAGAAAACCGGGCAAAATGTTAAAAATGTCAACGGAAGGGGGTCAACAGAATAAGCTTATACTAACATCATAGATAGGTTAGGTGGAGTAATGGACAAATATAATAAACATAGGTTCTTTACTGCTCTTGTATTAGAGATACGAGCATCACTTTATTTGACCCCTTCGGACGCCATTTTTGTAAGAAATTTTGACCATTTTCTGAAGCTCACAAAGTCCTCAAAATTAAACAAGCGAAGTTCATTTTTTGTATGCGATACGACACAACACAGGACTATCTTCGAAAACCATAAACATTGTTAAGTAGCTACGGGCAAGACTAAAACTTTCTTATTTTACCTGACCTAAACACAGTGTCTGCAAGCGAATCAAAAATCGGTCGTTTTTGAATTGATCTGTAGCGCACAACTAAAAGGATAATAAACCTCTGACAGCCAAATTGCAGTCTACAATCATCCATGTTACCAAAACACTAATAATGATTTTGGCTCGTTGGAAAAGGAAGAAATTAGAAAACTCACATTTGTCATAGGTACCAACCTTTTTCTTGAAAATAGGCCGATCCCTTCTGGTTTGTTTTAAGTCCTCTTCATGATTTTTGTTCCCTATTTCGCTGTCAGCTTGGTCAGCAGGTAGAGGAAATATCAAAAAGTTCGAAATATTGTCACTGTAACATCTTAGAACGGCAAAAAGTGCTAAACCATGGGATAAAACTAGAAAATAACAAAGCGACGCCATCTTGAAAGTTCAGTACTCTGGAGGGACTGGCACTAGTAGTTGACAAGACGACGAATAATAACGTAAAAGTCAGAAACAAACGACGCAGTAAATAAATGCACACTTCTTATACAAATCACAAACAAACCCTTATCAGCTACTTGCTCCAATATTACCTCTCTGTTTACTACATTTGGTTCGTTCACTTCTGGGTTGTCATTAATGTTTTTTTGCGGAGTGAATGGAGTGGAGAATATAATGGGCTATTAACCTGGGACTTCTCTTTCCGTTTGGGAGGCGAAAAAGAAACCTCCTGATCGCGGGTTAATGGGTAATTAACTCGACGTACTTCATCCGTTCTTCATTTTAAGTTATCCCGTGAATGTGGATAACATTCACCTTATGGCTTACTGGGAATCAATTCACCTCGTTTCATAGCTTGCGCAGAAGCCCTTTTTCAGGTCTGTAGGTTTTGCGGTCTGGTTTGTGGGACTTATAAGGTATTCAAAATTCGCGCCAAAGTTGTTCTAAAAATAAACTTGTTAGTTAAAATGCCGTGCACTACTACATAGAAGCTGCTCGCTCCAGGTTATGGGCTCCTGCGTGACGCAAATAATTGGGAGCTGCGATCCAGATATTCACAAGATGATTCAGAAGACTACGCGCAATCGGCCTATTCTGAAATAGACGGCTACTGTCGAAGTTAGTTTTAAGGTACTCTTCCTTGTGCAGCCGTCTTAAAACTATACTGTATAATGGGGGCGAATTCATGTAAATGTCAGTGGGGAGTGAGGGTTGGTCATATTTTTTTTAGTGACTAGGAAGGGTAGTTGGGTAAGAGCTACCTTTCCTTTGTTGGCAGGTGAGGTTACATATTATTACCCTAGCCCCTCCTGTCACTTACATAATCTAATCTTTTCTTGTGACAACGCTCTGTGAAAAGAGATTCACTGAAAGCAACGTGGTATAGGTAATTTTACAGTTCAGTCTTACCTCACTTCGTTTTATGATAAAAGTCTTTGTTTTTTAAATGAGTAAGCGTGTCCTAACTGCAGTGAAACACAGAAACCCCATTTAAAGTAGAAAACGAAATAGCGAACACTCAGGGATAGTAGATGACAACAGAAAAATAAATAAGGAGTTGTGTTTCATAACTCGGTGCAACACAACGTCACAAGAGGGCTATTGGAAAAAAAAGAAGTTTATAATTTGCCAGTATCAGTATACTATTCAAGTAAATTTGCGTTGCCCTATCAGTTATGATGACCACGACATTATTTGTAGTCCTAAAAAGCAAGGAAAAAAATTACAAGGAAACTTTAAGATCTTGATCGGCTATGCATGCGTTTCGGGTAGTTATCGCTGTTATCGAAGGGCCTGCTGGTCTTACACACAGAAGTCATGATGTTTCTTCATTTAAGGCACTTATAACCGGTTTTCATTTTTCTCAAAACGTTTATACTGCGTTAAAGTACTCCTTCGGACCGATTCAAGCCCAGAACTACTAATCTGGAAACAGGAGCTCAGTAGTATAGTAGGGACTGGTTACTCCTTTTTTTGCGGGGGAATCTCATTAACTTGTGGGGGAATACATTAACACCGATGGCGTCATAACTTTTAGTCTTTATCTCATGCATAAAATGCGCAGGAATCTCATTAAGATAAGGTCGTGTGTTATTTTTAGTTGGTTTAACCGGTTTTACAGTTTTTTAGTAGCTTTAAGGTCTATAATTTCGATTGGTTGATTAGAAAATAAGAAACCGCTGTAATTAGGGTCTGCGAATTAGTGCACAATAGCTTTTGCGCACTAATAGCCCATGTTCGATATTTTAAAATTCTAACATGACTCCGAGCCTTTAGGGTCAAAGTTGCAAATTTTCACGACTTCATTGTCTCGTAATTCCCAGAAGAGACTCAAGCGCAAAGAAAACCATACCAAATATAGAAAAATGACCAGAAAGCCTCGGAGTCATGTTAGAATTTTAATATATCGATCGTGGGCTATTCGCAGGCTAGACGGGCTATATCAATGGTCCAGGCTATGCTTAGGTGGGCCGGCTGCAGCGTAGGCTATTAGCGCTTTCCATTTGCCAAACTAAACCCTCATGAAAAGTGGAATGATCAAGACAAAATGGAGCGACATTGTTCTACTGAAACGTTTTCAATCGCATCGAAACGATCCACTTGTGTTTCGACCGACATTTTGATTGCTGCTTAGCAAGGTAGGACTGAAAACGAAAATTTTTGGAAATGGAACGGCAAGTTTCGGTCGGACCGGAGCAACCGTCCAAGAGGACCACCTCTGGAGGTGGACCATTTTGTCCGGAAGATTTCGAAGTAGACTAAAGCGTCCCATTTATTTCTCGACGAAAATTTCCGAAAATTTTGTTATAATGGAAGGCACCCCATATTATTCCTGATGCCTGAAAGACGTAGCCTCTCGGGCGGAGACTTCCTGCATACTGTAGCCTATTATAAGGAATGCCCCTGCCGTTTCATCTAAGGTAGAAGAAAAAGGGTCACCAGCAACATCATTTATTACGGAGCCCGTGCTTGAAAGGAATGGGAGACGAGTGGATGTTCAGACGTCGACGGTGATCGGAGAATGACGCAACAATAGACGAATATAATGAAAACGTCAATACCTCTAATCCTAAAAGTAAATCAAAGACCAAAGAGTTGAACGAAAGAAATGTTATGAGTTTTACAGGATAACTCAAAATGAAGTGAAAGAGCGAA